AATGTTTCATGGATAGGAATGTAGTAATATTTGTTATAAAAAGAAATATCTTAATTTTTTAATATAATCGTTGAGATTTGTTATATTAAAATATGATACTTAACTTTTGAATATAAGATGACAATTATTTTGTTAATAAATAACAAATGAGAGATATGAGATTAATCTGACTATAATGATTTGTTAAAGATAATATTTATGATTTAACTATTACAATGTGATAGTTCTTTCTTTGAAATAATTGAGAAACAACAACAAAAATATTGCAATTTTGTTTATATTTTTACTATTTGTTTTATAAAACAAATAATAGTGTTGTAGTTTAAAATGAGAGAGAGAGAGAGAGAGAGAGAGAGGGGAAGGTGGTGGGGAAAAAAAAATAAAGTATATTTGCGTTTCGTATTTTAGCAAATATTTTCGCGAACTTTTTTTGTTTTCTTTTTTATTGCGCCATGTGTGACTACTTTTAGGCTTTACTACTGTAAACACTTTCCCTCCTTTATTTTTCTTTGTATTTTATACGAGAGATGTGTGGAAGAGTGATGGGGAAGATGACAAAATTCGCTTTTTCGACTGTTGTTCGAATTTACTAACATTTAAAAAATCGATCGGGGACGTTATATACACGTGCGTATTTGACTACCACCCCTTTGGAATTTATTATTGGAAAGCTTGAAGGGATATCAAATGTTCCGTTACATCCATACATCTTGTTATTCTTTTAAACGTATAATATTTTATATATGCTCGATAGAGTCAATATTTTTCTACAATATAATAATTTCCAATCATTTTTTTATAAAAATTCTCCGACGATAGTTACAATTCTTAAACGATAATCTCACTCAATGATGTTATTTCTTTTTTTTTTTCAATTAAATTAAAAATATCTCTTAATATATATGAATTACGGTGTCACGTTGTTTGTCCGCAATGGACTCCTAAACTACTGAAAACAATTGTAATAAAATTTTGCACACTGTGTGCAGTTTCATCCAACTTGAAAGATAGGATAGTTTATATCTCAATTTATAATCGCAATTGACTTAAAAACGTGTGTATCGGACTGATTGTGAGTCACAGCAACGCGTGGCGGGGCATTCCTAGTTAAATTATAAGACCTAAAGAGAATATCAACTATATTATATTGTAATATTATGTATCGTGTTAGTATAGGACATTTTAAACGAGTTACGTCGATAAATACATATATATATGAAAATACTTTGCTGAACTTTTCAACTATCTCATAGCCGGAAGCTACTTTTTCGATCGATCTATCATACATACACACATATACATGCATTAAACGTATAATAGTAGACGTCTATGTATTATAATATATAAGTACACTTTCTTCCTTTCTCTTATTTTTTTTTTTTTTTTACTTTAAAGCAAACTCCTCCAGGCTATTTTATTTCATGCGCGGAAAATCGAGATAACGATAGCGAAAGTTAAGATGAAAATTTTCAAAGGTCCCCCCCTCCCCCTTCTTCCTTCCTCCTTCCTGTAAAAAGGGGAGAGAAAAATAAGAGATTCCTAGGTTTTTTTTTTTTTTTTTTGTACAAACAACGAAAATCGGTTTCTTTCCTTTCAGTAAGAACGAACGGGAAAACTTCATTTAAAAGACTTTCTTCCATAGAACTTGAAAGATCCAAGTCCCGTTGTCGCAAATTTAATGACTTCCAACTCGTCGTTTATGAGACTTTGCTTATTTTCCTTCCCCCGTTAAGAGTTAGCTCATCTTCCATTTGTTCTTTCTTTTTCATATAACCACTAAGAAAAGTATGATACTTTCAGTTTTTTTTAAACATTTTTTTTCTATATTTTGTCTGTTTCTTTTCTTAAATTTAATAACAAAAATTGAACGGTAGTACGCGATACCGCAAGTTTATTTTTGATTATCTTCTGAAAAAGTTGTGTAGAATTTTTGTGTCTTTAAATAGGATCAGTCACAGGATTTGTGAATTTTAGTTATTAATACCTACGGCAATAATCGATTATTTGGTTTTTTTTTTTTTTTTTTTTAAAGGGATGTTAAATAACAATTGTTAGAGTTATGGTTTATTAGAGAGTTTTTTTTTTTTTTTTAGACATATTTTAGTTAAGTTTCTAGATGAAATAATCCATTTCAATTGGTTGATCCAGTCGTGTCTGTGTTTGGAAATGAACCGATATTGAATGTATACGCTTGACTGTGAACACAGAGAATTCTACAGCGTTTAAGTAAATCGTTGGACCGTCCATAATACGTGTTTCATGTCTTTGGTTTAATTTTATTTGGGTATACAACGGTAAAAGGAACTATATTATTGTAGATACGTTTGAACGAAATGAACAATTTCATGTAAATTATTAGATTGATATTTTAATCTAACTTGTAACTTCGTTTTTATTTTCTATTTAATAATTTTATCGAATAATTTCCGTATTTGTTTGTTTCTTCATTTATTTTCTTTTTTTTCTTTCGTAAATATTAAATAAACTTTATTAACAATGAATTTGAAAATATTTTTCTTCGTATTTTGCTTCTCCTTTTGTTTTTATTTTTTTTTAATTATTTTTATTATTTTTATTATAAACTATCGAAAGCGATATTCTCGTTGCAAAAGTAAAATACATTGAATATTAATTTAACGGAAACGTTGTTGGGAAAACTTGCCAATTTTGAAACGATAAATCGAATCGAAATGCAAATATTTTCGTGGGTAATAGTTTGTTCCACGTTCTGCATTTCCAAAAAGGATCGAGTATGCTAATGATCGTTCTGTATTCGCTAACCCGTTGTGTCGTTAGAAACGTCGTCGTACTTTTCCTTCTTCCAAGATTTCCTTCTAAACGTATTTTCCTTTCTTCCTTCCTTCCTTTCTTTCTTTCTTTCTTTCTTTCTCTATGTTGAATAAAATAATCGTAACCGAAAGAATATTGCAGCCATAAAGAAGATACACTTTCAACCTATTGTATAATAAATTATAATATCGCATTATTGTTAAATCACAATTTACGTGAAAACATAAATAACAATTTGAAATGAAAATCATCAAAATGTAAATGTTCTTCTATTGATTAATTATAATCAAATCACTGATTACTAATAATAGAAATTTTCATAATATATTAATACAGGAAAAAAAATATCAACATATCACATGATTAATACGATTGAAGAAGAAGTATCATTCAAAGATGTTAATTCATTTGAAAAAATCTTCTTCATTTTGTATTATTCTATTTTATCATTTATTTTATCTTTCTCTTCGTCATTTTTTATTTTTTTTTTTTTTTTTAATAAAAAAATCAAAGATACCAGAATTCACACTTCTTGTCACTGGCTTTTCTACAAGACAATTCTATTCAAATATCATTGAAATAAAATTTCAAATAGCTTTTCCTATGCTACGAGAAGCTCATACAAAATTAAAACCATAATTTATATTTTTTTTTTTTTTTACCAATATATATTATTGTTCTTTCTATATATTTCTTCTTAAGAAAAAGATATATTGAAATATCGTTCCAGAGTTTTGTTACATTGCCAAAACAAAAACACTCCTAATAATTATTCTAGATTTTCGATAATTATTCTATTAATTAAGAAGAAGATGAAAATTGTCTATTACGGGTATTCTTTTTTTTTGCAGTAACGTTTTTTACTTTTTCAAAAAGTCCGTACTCTTTACTTACATCGATTTCCTTTTTAGTTCTCTAACTTAGGTCCGTTATTAAAGCTGGTAATCCTATAAGATCGAGGTAAAAGGAGAGATGTGAAAATCACCAAGTTCAGATGACTGGACTCAACGAAATAGAAAGATAAGAGTACGACGTGTGTAAGTTTGAGAAAAAGGAGGCAGAAAAAAAGATAAATAAAAAAGAGAGAGAGAGAGAGAGAAAAAGAGTGTGTGTGTGTGTGTGTGTATGACATATGGGACACAGTGATGTTCCCAAACAAGGAGACTGGTAATCCCTTTACTGCTACACAAGAAGAGGCTTTGACACTGACGAGCTTAGCGTTTAGAGACTTTTCTAACCATGTCAAGTCGGTCTAAGAGAGATAGTTATGTCGCGAACCTCTTTCCTCTCTTCTATCAACCCTTCTATCAACCCTCTATACCTATTCCTATCTTTATTTCTTTTTTTCTTTCTTTCATCCTTCTTTCCTTTTTTTTTTTCACTCAAGGACGTTCAATTCGCAGACGCGATGACGAATAGTGGTGGTGGTGGTAGTGATCTATTCATTTCTCCGAAGAAGCTCTTGGCAAGGGTTTTCTCGATCGAAACCATAGGGGTGCGCCAGTTAAATATAAAAAAGATCTTTCACTTTATTGGTTATCAATGTCTTCATTCTTTTTTTTTTTCATCTAGTTAATAGTTTAAGTTGAATTTACCATTCCCGAAAGAATATAAAATATGAATATAGAAAAAGTATGATTATATATATATATATATATATGTCATCTTACTAAAATGAAATGAATTTTGTCGGTGATATCGATTTCTAGGATTTTTCAAGAGTTCATTGAACCATTAACTTGAAATTATTAAGGCTTACCCTTGAATTTATTTCACGAGGATTTTAGTTTTTTGTTTTTTTTTTTTTTTTTTTTTTTTATTATTATTTTATATGAAAAAGAATAATAGAATTAAATAAATAAATAAATAAATAAATACAAAAGTTTCAATCAATATTTTCAATTATATTGATTTAACAATTAATTTTTCAGCTGGTCGCTCACGAAAGACGACTGTCGACTTCAGCTTCCCGAACANTCGATTTCTAGGATTTTTCAAGAGTTCATTGAACCATTAACTTGAAATTATTAAGGCTTACCCTTGAATTTATTTCACGAGGATTTTAGTTTTTTTTTTTTTTTTTTTTTTTTTTTTACTCTCCTGTCTGTTACGACAATTCGTTTTCATTTATATTGAAAGTGAATTCATTGGAGGACAAATAGTTTCAATCAATATTTTCAATTATATTGATTTAACAATTAATTTTTCAGCTGGTCGCTCACGAAAGACGACTGTCGACTTCAGCTTCCCGAACAATGGCTGCTATGAGCTTAGGATTCATTGTAATGGTTACACCTTGGACAATTCAAGAAGTCGTCGCAGCTTGTACCGGAAGTAAACCTCCACCGTTCCTTGACTTTCTTGCTACGTGGCTTGCTCTTTCTAATAGTTTTTGGAATCCATTTCTTTATTGGTTGCTCAACAATCACTTTCGACGAATATCGAGGGAATTACTTTACACTAAGGTAATATATGAAAATATTTTATATTTAATTAGATACGATAACTTTCAAATTTGTTATAGAATCCCTTTAAGTTGCACGCTTGAGTTAATTTGAGCTCGTTAAACCGGCCAAATTTTGCACACTCGAGATCATTCGAGTGGCGTTGCATTTAATGTTGCTAGAATTTTTCACACTCGAAATTAATCTAGTATTGATAATGACAAAAGACAATGACAATGACAATGTTTTAAATTGGTCTTTTTTTCTTTTTTTTACATAAAAAAACAACTGATTTTATTTTATTAATAAATATTTATTAATATCATTAGAGAGACTCTTTATTATTTATCCTTTGTAATCGTAAAACTCCATTAATGGAATCAAATCATCGAAATTAAAATTCAGGGTATTTTTCTTCCCCTTTTGTTTTTTATCAACACCTTTATCATTCGGCCATTTTATTCCTCGTTACGGTTTATTAATTTATTAATTTCAAATGTTATTACAAAGGAGAAAATTTATTGAAAATACAACGATATGAAATACGATTTCAAACAATAGAGAAATATAAATGCGGGTTTTATTCACGTTTAACAAAAATTCTGGATGAAAGATTTAAACGATTTCATAAAGTATATATACATATACATATACATGTACATATATATAAATTAAATAAAAGGATGTTCGATTTTTATCTTTTAACGAACTAGTTCGATCGAATCGCGATCGAATCGCGAATATAAAATTTGTCCCTAGGAAAAATATCTTCAATTGCAGAATTGTTTTGTGCACGGCCATCGAATAAATCGCGTCAATGCGTTTAAGGATGTTTGGGTGATACAATCGAAGATAAAAATTGCGAAAAATTTACAATTTCGCGTATATATCTGCATTTTACAACATGTTTTACAATTTTATCAATAATGATGAATTAAATTAAAACTGTTAAATTAATATGAACAAATTTTAAATCAATTTTGACATTGAATGTCTTGATTTTATAACCTTACGTCAATAAACTATTTTGCTATTTTTAATCTTCATGAATTTTTTTACATCGCAGAATTAATAATGCTTAAATATTAATTATATTGTTTATACTGTATACAAAATTATAAACACATTTTTAGCTCTCATAATCAACTGACCTGAGTACAGTGTACAGTACTGCCGAACTTTCTTATACAATGATTGATTGATTAAGTAAAAGTCTGGTTTTTAGGTTTTTTTTTGAAGTGAAAATTTCCTTATAATGGGGGGTAACTTAGAAAAGGAGAGTACAAAAAGGTACAGGTAGCGATGAAACTTGAGGAAACGAAACTGAACGATCTTCGTTTCTAGAAAGTAAAAAAGAGACACACATACATATATATTTACATCTATAGAATTTAACCTGAAAGAGAATGAGATAGAATATAGTACATATATACAGTTTTTCCTTTCTCAGGCCACCGCAGAAAAATTCCGTTAATGCGTCAATCTACAGCTTAAATTGTTGCGACAAATCATAAAATAAAAAACTTGATTTAAAATCAAAACACTTTGAAAATTCCAAACATTTTATTTATAAAAAGTAGTCACACACACACACACACACACAATCGGATTTCGATGAAAAATGGGCCAATATTGAATTTAACATAGATTCAAAACAGTCTCTATTTTCTTTCACTTGATGCTGTCCCCATAACCCTGACGAAACCTTGACGAAACCCTGACGGTTGCTGTGTGCAAACAACAAGGTTGTTGTGTGCGAAACAACAAGATTCCTTTTTATTGGCGCATTAGCGAAATTTTTGCTGCGGTGGCGTTAATATGTAAGTACCTTCGTAATCCCCACTTCTGGCTATTAAGCATTGTATATGAATGTGTTTGTGTGAGAATGCATACTAAGAAACGTAGACACATATTATCACAATATACATATTTCAAAATATAAGTTAGTTTTTTGACTGGCCAATAAACTATTTACATTTCTTACAAGCAAAGCTTTTTCACAGTCTCTACATAAGATTCTAGCATTAGAAAAATAGAAGATCTCCATTTTCAGGATCATATCTGTAATTTAGTCAATAATAATTTTAAAAAATTACGTGATTTTTTTACATTATGGTGTTTTTTTTATGTACAAAGTCTTTTACTAATAGTTGGAAATAAGAACTGTTTGAATATTTATTGCTCGTACGTTACTGCCGATATTTTCATTTGCCTTGTCAAATTTTGTAATTTATTCGAAAAACTTATTTTTGATTTTCATTATATCTATTGTAGAAACTCTCAAGATTAGGTAAAAAGTTCATTGTTTATAAAAAATTAGTTAATAAATTACAATTTTATAAAATTTGATTTCAAATTCATCCGTTTTACGAATACTTTTTACATCCACTGTATATCTTACGACCACCTACGAAGAATCTAAAAAGAACTCGACGAAGAATAGAAAAATGCCGACAAAAAAGGCTAAGTGTCACTATCCTTAACATTTATCATCAACAAGGCTTTGTCGGTATGCAGGTAAAGGGTCATTGTATTCGTTTTTTTTATTCATTTGAAAAATTAGATTTTTTCGAAGTGAAAACTTCTTTAGAATGGGTGTGATTCGAAAAAAAAAATGAAATGCGGTGATGTAGTGGGGAAAAAAGAGATAAAGAGACAAACATATTGAATTGAGCCTGCGAAAGAATGAGACAGAACATAGCTATACAGTTTTTCCTATTTTCGGTCTTTCATTCGTCGTAGTCCTCATTCCTGGCTACTAAGCTTTCTATATGAATGTGTTTGTGTGAGAATGCATACTACGAAACGTGGATTCATATAATTTCGATACTAAACCTTTTTGTTGGTAGAAGCTATAAAAGGGTAGAAGAATAAACAGAGATAAGCGTGCAGGTAGGAGACAAAAGAATAAAGTACAAACGAACCGACGACGGTCGAAATAAAAAATCATACCGGTGGCCTTTGATATATATATATATATGGTAATAATATTATAATAAATAAATTCTAAATAAGCCTATTTCTGATTCTGCGCATTCCTCTTATTCTCTCAAAGCTTGGTTTTTTCAAGGGTTTCATTTCTACCATGTGTAATTTTGCACACGTGACATTTTTATTAATGAATAAATTGATTGTTTTAAAGATTGATTATCTTGGAAAATTTTTAATATTGTATTTAAATAAATTAGAAACCGTTTTCTAGAAAATATTATAAATTTGTGTAGAAAAAATATTATTTAACGGAATACTTTTTTCTAGTAAATTATTTGATATTTTTCAAATAACAAGAAAATAGTGAAAAATGACACCACTGTTGGTCGGCATTGAAAAAATTTACTTTGTTGTAGAAAGATTAATATAAATTAGAGAAATAAAATTTAAGACAAGTGTTGAATTTCAATTTTAAGGTTGTCAACTGTGATTGACAAAGGTTGTCAGTAATTGTTCACTCATACAATAGCCTGAGAGATTAGAATAGTAAAACTATATTTTATCTTATTTTATTTTGTATTTTTTGGTAAAAAGGATTATCCACACACATAATATAAGATCGAATGTGAATTTTTCTTCGAAAATTTTAACATTAGAAAGGAAAGCCAGGTAAATCTACGTCCTCTAGGGAGTTGTCCTACTTTTTTTCGAGTAGAAGAAAAATTTGATTTTTTGTTATTTTATATTTGTAAAATGATTCAGTATTTGTCCTTAAGAATGTCTATTCTTTCCTACTTCAGTTTCTAAACAAACCAATTCATAAAAGTAGCCAGTAGATTAGTCAAAAAATAACTAGGAGAATGTAAGGGAGTTGAAAGAAACAAATTTTGGGGAGTAAAATTGTTCTTCTTTTACTTTCACAAATAAAAAGAAAATAAAATAGAAAAAGAAGGAATAGAAAGGAAGGTAGAAAGGGAACAAGGGAAAACGTCGAAATAGAGATAACGGAATAAACAAATAGTAGAGAGAAAGAGAAAGAGAGAGGAGAGAGAGAGAGAAAGAAACAAACAAACCAAAGTTTTAAGTTCAAACGGAAAATACATTCAGCGTCGAATATATTTAAATCCGAATGGGCGTTATTTTCAATTCCATCGCGATACACGTTTCGTTTCGCGAGTTTAAAACGATTTAACGACAATCTTCTACGTTTTTCTACACCTATTCGGATCTCTTAAATTTGGTTCGAGCAAATGAAGGCTAAAGGGGAAGTGGAAACGTTCCTTTTCTCTATACTCCTACCCACCACTGTCTTTTTTTTTTCTATTTCTCTATTTTACATCGTCCAACATTCAGGACAATGCATCTTCCCCGTAGCGACTTTGCAGCCCATGAATTCCGAAACGGTCGTCCTCTCATCGTAAATCTTTCATCTTTGGAAAACGTGCAGTTTTTCTTTTTCGTTTTCTTCTTCTTTTTTATTCATTCTTTCTTTCTCTCTCTCTTTTTCTTTCTCTATCTTTATTTCGTTGGTTTATACAGAGCCTACACGATCGTATCACGTGCTGGGCTTGACAAGTGGTCTTATGCCGTTTCACCAATCGATTTATCTTTCGAAAAACGGTAAGAAAAGCGAAAGAAAGACAAATGGATAGGTAGATAGATGTCGATTGATTTTTCTACAGAATCCTATTGTTTTACCTGATAAATATTGATAAATATGTAATGTTTAATTTAAAAAAAAAAAAAAAGTATGATTATTTATTAAATGATTTAAGAATTCCTTAAATGTACAAATACAATGGGAGTTTAAAGTCTCTTAAATATTTAAATTTAGAAAATGAAACGATATTATATTTAAATCGTTAAATATTATTTTGTTAATAAGGTTGATAGAAAAATTTTTAATAAACGATAATTACAATTCATAAAATGATCAAAATATAATTTCAAGAGAACAAAATGATAATGTTTGGTACAAATAAATAGAAAAACAATATTAAAATAAATTAATAAATAATATTTTGTTTGTTTGTATAGAATAATAGTATCACACATATATATATATATAAAAATAAACTTTATCAAATATCATTTTATGTATTTCAGTTGCTTTGCAGACCAAAGCCATTAGGACCGAAACAACATTGTTGTGCAACGAGTACCGGAGGCCTCGACGTATGCAGTATTAGTGGAGTAGATTTGTCGGGTACGATATACTCATTTATTCTTTTATTTTTTATTTTTATTTTTTATTCTTTTAACCAGTTAAGTGTGGCGATCTGTGCGCAGAGTCGTGCGCTCCGGTGTGTGTCGCGATAGGGACCCTATAGGAGGGTACATGGCGCGTCCCTCCTATAGGGTCCCTAAAATGTACACACAGTTTTTTAATATGATCATATTATTTATAGATAATAAACGGAACAATTAGATAAAAAATAATCGAATATTTAATAGAAGTTAAACATTTATTCTTGACTCTGTTTTACACCTTTAAACATTTTAAACATCAAATTGTAATAAACTTTTACGCATGACGGATATAAAAGACGTGATAACACACAAAATTTGGCCATATCTCCATGACGAATATAGTCGTCAAACACGTTTAACTGGTTAATCATTATTTTGAGGACGTGTATATTGGAAAAGTTTGCTTCGATAAAAAAGAGGGAAAGTGGGGGAAGGGAAAAACGCAAGAGATGAAAGAAAAAGCGTTTTGAATATTTTCGATTACAAAGAGAGAGAGAGAGAGAGAGAGAGAGAGAGAGCCAATAACGATGTTATTAACAAAAAAGAAAGGTATGTAGTCACGTTATTTGATGCAAGAGAAAAAAAGATTGAAAAAATAATAATAATAATATTATGTATATTCTATAATAATAGAAAACAAAAAGAAAAATTGTCTAGTACATTGGTAAGTGCAGAAAGCTCGTGATCGTTTACGCGAAACCGCGTTATTGATTCTCTTCTATCTGGTTCATTTCGTGTAAAGTCACGTACAAGAATATAGAAAAAAAATTTGTCCTCATAAAGGGACGTTAGAAAAAATTCTAAGAAACCTTCATACATACTCAATCATTCTCGAATTCTCGAGAGGTTCTTTTCTTCATGAGATCCTTTGATCTAGACGCTTTTGTTAATATTTAAGAAAAATTATTATTATTAAAATCAATTAATTGTTAAAGAGAAAAATGAAATTTATTTTTGACAAGTAATGTTCTTTCATTGAATTTTTTTTTTTTTTTTAATATCAATGATAGAGCTTGAAAAAAAAATTTGTTCTAATAAAAAGAGAGAGAGAGAGAGAGAGAGAGTTAAGTTGACAGACAGTTTTGGTGATCCAAAAATTATCAATTAGAATCATTTGAAGTTAATTTTTTATATTTAACGTGAGTTTTTTTTTTTTTGCATAGAAAATTTCGGAATATTTCATTTTCGGTGAAACGTTCAATAAAATCGAGGATAAAGTTAAAGCTAGTTTGTGAAATTGCGATTAAAAACGAACAGTTCAATTCATGTTCGTAATAATAGTTTGGCGTGACTGCGTGCGTGGGAAGATGATTGTGCAACAAGTGTCATTGCATGGGACGACGTAGATACGTGAAGTGTATGTTATATACATGGATTTTATACAAAGGAACTCTTGTTTCAGGGTTGGAACGTTGCTCAATGGATCGATGTTCCATGGCAAGATGTTCATCATCATCTTTAGCCAACAATCCATCGCCACTTCCATGGGAAACCGGCCACATGATCCCACGAGGGGATATTACGCCCACGTGAGGTCCGTTCTCTATTAATTATTATTTATTAATTAATTATTCATTTATCATGAATTTCGTAATTACAAATTGATTTATTAGGGTAATTCGTAAATGAGTTCTAATATTAAGCTAAAAATCAATTAAAATATTAATACTTATTAATTATTTATAATTATTAATGAGTTTGTGATTAAGAACATTAATTGTGTATAATATTATATAAAAACTACGCATACACGCACGCATTGCTGTGGCTCACAATTAGTCCGATACACACGTCTTTAAGTCAACGAACTACCTTATACCGCCATCTGTTAGAATCTTATCGAATTAACTGAGATAATCATGATTCTTTGTTAATAAACAAATAATTCGATGATACATTGAGATATAAACTATCCTATCTTTCAAGTTAGATAAAACTGCACACAGTGTGCACAATTTTATTAAAATTGTTTTCAGTAGTTTAGGAGTCCATTGCAGACAAACAACGTGACACGTAACTTATATATATATATTAAGATAAGATAATTAAACGTATAATATATATTTACATATTCCGTGTTTACGAATGATATATAATTATATATAAAATATAATTTTGTTATTAGGTTGAAATTACCATTTTGTAATTGAATAATATTGGTAATTTCAGAAAAAAGTAATAGTCAATTCATTCTCGAACGTTCTTCGTGTACGTCTGGGACAGTTTGTTCGTAGAATTTAAATTTCTGTCGTGTCTTTTATCTGTGATTTTTGTCGTCTTTACATTTCCACATTTTTGACGTTTCTTTTATACTTTTGCCGTCTATTCGTCTTTTAAATTCGTCTGCTTTCGTCTAACGTCAACTTCTACCCTTTAAATTCGACTGTACTCGTCAAACAACTGATGTCGGTTGTTTACAGAGTCCATTTTTTTTGGTCGCCTATTATCTGACGTCTTTTATCTTCTTTCTTATTTATCGATCGTCTCGGTTGTAAAAAGGCGATTATCTTTCGTGAATGAATCACGAAATCATCAATTAACAAATCATTCAAACGTATACGTTCATCAATTCTCTTCCTCTCAAACATTTACACATTCATTCATCTTGACACTTTACCATTGATAATTTTATCAAATTGTCGTTATTGTTTATATTAGGTTAATTTATAAATAAGTGTTATTCTATGAGTTAAAAGTTTATTACAATAATAATAATAATATTTATTTATAAATCAAATTTAATGATTTTCTATTTAGTCTTTATTTTTTGTCCGTTAATTACTGAGCATAATTAACTAATTCTCGATAAAACAGTCAAATTAGTCATTAAATCCTAATTCTAACATTTCCTATAAATTACGTATTAATGTCTCACCATTACAAATTGATCGACATGTAAAGTAAGTACGAGTAAAGTAACGACGATATTAACTCAATTTTGTGATCAATCGATACATTTTTAAATTTCTGTTAATAATTAGTACTCATATCAAACGTCATGTTTACTCGTTCAGTGTAATAAACGACACATAGGTATATGTGTACAAATGATTATAGTAAAACAAACTAAACGATCAGAGAGCAATTAACTGTTTATAAAATAGACGTATAACTGGGATAAAAGTAACGAAAAAAAAAATAAGAAAATAAATAAAATAAAATAAAATAAAATACTTTCTGTCAACAGGAAGGGATGCCGCCACGCAAACGGACGATCCGGGATCACCGGACCACATCAGTTAGTATCGCGTGGCGGCAGAATCGCATCTGCTGATCAAAAAACAAGAACGACGACGAAGAGTGTTCAATGACTATGTCGATGTAGAATTTTCTTCGTTATGGTCAACGAATTTTCTTGTCCCATCATTAAGGGGAAATTACCATCATCGAGATAGGTCTTCATCTTCCTCTTATCACGAAAACAATGGGACGATCGAATGCTCGAAGACTTGCCAACGTTCGCAACGAGAGAGACGCGTCAAATATGCGAGCTTTCTCAGCTTACCCGATCTTGTACCGGACAAATCTGATAAATGATGATAAAAGAAGAAAATTAAGATTGTTTTTAATAACGTAGAAATGATAAAGAGATTTATATATTTTATTATTTCTTTTATTATATGTTTTTCAAAAGAAGAATGTCAAATGTATTTGGAAAATGAAGAAAAGAAGAAGAAGAAGAAGAAAGGAAATAGAAAATATTTTTCTTTGATCATTTTTTTTATTTTTTTGGTAGGACATATAAGTAATACTTGAAAAGAATGAAGAAAACTAGAAAAATAAAACAATTTTAACATCATTTAAAAAGAATACATTTTTTATACTTTTATTTTATATCTTTTTTTTTTTAAAGGAATGTAAGAAGATAAAGAGAGAACCAATACTTCTTGTGATAATCGACATTAAAAGAGAATTAATTTTACTTATTTTAATTATATTACAGAAGAAAAACGTAAGAGAAGAAATTTGTTCATAAAACAAATTCGATATGAATTGTAGTTTTTATTTTTTACAAATTTGTAAAGTTCCAAATTGTATTATTTCTAATAAGTAAAAATGTAGGACAGAATTTATCGAATGTTTTCATTCGATAAAAGTATACCTTTTGGTTTTTTTCTTTCTTCTTTTTCTTTTACAATATAGAAAAATGTGAAAGTATAGATTTAGTTTCTCGTACGAATGTTCGATAGTATTTCTTTTTCCTATTTGTACTTTTAAGATGAAAAGGACGAAGGAGGAAAGAAATTAAAAAAGGAGTTCTCGTTCTGTTCTATTTCGTTTACTAAGCGAGTGTTCTTAGAATAATATTGTGAGTTGTGGAAAAAGGGACCTTAGATCTGTTATTTTCTTTTACTTCAGTGAAAAGGTAGTTAAGTTTCATAGGACGGTAACCATTTTAAGGACATTTTTATTACTTTTTATTTTCTTTTTTTTTTCATTATTGTGGAAAATGGTTAGATAGAACAACACGTGTTGGGAACATGGTAGTAATATATTTTCACTTCTTTTTTTCATTTTTACGAAGAAAGGAAAACGTGGAGGGTCGAAAGATTGGAACATAAATTTTAAAAATTACGAAAAGCTCAAAATATATTTTCATAGGAGTAAAGAGTATTTATATATTATTTTTATTATCTTTAAAAAACTGAAAGGCGTAGAATAAAAGAGATTTGTTGGATAACAAAATTAGATAGTAATTTAGTTTAATTGTTATTTTTGTATTTTTGTTTTTACTTTTACGAGTGAAAACGTTCAATCAAATTTGTCCTCTTAGAACAGATGAGATAGAAATATTTATATTATATTAAATTAATTGAATTTATTTATACTTGAAGAAGGAGAAAAAAAAGAAGAACACAGGACAAGATCGGGTCTGCGGTGCCTGAACGGAAAACGGAGAGACCGAAAGAGACTCTCAAATAAAAGTCTCTCTCTCTCTTACTCTCTTTATTAATAATATAAATCTATCCGTGAAAGGAAATATAAAACGCACAATGTATATTTCTTGAAGGATGTAATATTAACGCAATGGAGAGAACAATGTCGTAATTAGTAATACGTAATTCATAACTTTATGCAATCTCGTCGTAAGTGACACTTCGAGACCATTTAAAAAAAAAAAAAAAAAACAGTCTTCAAGTTACTACTCAATGTAAATCGTTTGTGGAAATCATTTTTTAGTAAATAATAAAGAATCCTATGGAAGTATTTAATTGATGCTCTGATTTTGTCAGGATTATTATCATTTCTTTTTTTTATCTTTTAATTTTAAATAGAAATTTGTCGGAAGGCTTTTGTTAATCATAAATGAAACACGATAATTGTTGAAATTTAGAAAACTTTTTACAATTACAAGATTCTTATGAATGAAACACGTGTCGTACCTCAAAGAGAAATTTCTCTTTTCATTCTTTACTGAAATATTTCAGAACATGCATATTTTAACTGTTAAATTTTTATAAAAGATATCCAACGTTATTTAATAGTAAAAATTGTTAATAATACAATTTGCGTATGTACTGTTAGATGTTGTTGAATATAAACACATATTCTCTTCTTTTCATACCTAGAAATCTTTCTTATCATCAGAGCTATTCTTTAGAAAGGTGTTTTAAAATATGACTGTGAGATGGTAATTTTTTCAAATATTGTATTTTGTTTTCTAAAACATTGATCAATTCGTGTTGACTTTGATATTTTCAATGAGTCCTATATTACCAACATCTGGTCAAAATTACGATCATGAAAATGAATGACGTAAGCTCAACATATTGTATTAGACCATTTCTTTTTATTGGGATCTCTGGGAGGGGGCGTGGCGTAACAATTCGACCTATCTACTCTAATTTTGAATTTAGCCATCAGATAGCGCATTCAAGTGCTAGAGAACCCAATAGATTTTTTTTTTGTAAAAGCACGTGTAAAAAAAAATTGATAATTATTACATAATATATAAATGAACATGTGAAGATAAATTTTTAATTAAAATTTATGTTTATTAAGTTACATTATAGGTTTGCGAGGATAAACAAACAAATATTGATATTATTGAATCATACTTTTAGTTTTAGAAATGGAATTTTTCATTTTTTTTGTATATAAACGAAAAATTTCTTTCATTAAAATGTTAATTATTTTGACATAGATAATATTTAGATAAGGATTTATAAATTGACATGAACGAAAACATTCTAAAGATTTAAACGTTTATTATCTTGTATACATCTTATCGTGTAATAAAAACAGAATGATCAGTGGAATCGGTGAGATTGCGTTTACAATTCGTTTATACATTTTTCTCATCGGCGGAAATTTGCAAGAAGAAACAGAAAAATAGAACACACGTTTTAATTACGATAGTCCAATAGCATTTAACGAGTACCTTTTTTCTTTTTTTTTATTGTATTTTGTATTTCAAATGACATTACTTACGTTCTAAAAAAAAACTCATTTTTACGTCCGGAATCGTAGGCACAGTTAAATTCTCCGCTGTGGTGAAATTTTTAATGATATGAAATTTGTTTGTTCCATTTTAAAGGGAAAAAATTGAATATCTTTCAATTACGTACGATAAATACACTCGTGTGTTTAAGCAAAAATATAATTCTTTGGAATAAAATTCTACCCACAGAAGAAAATTTAACTGTTTTATGTATATACAATCGTTTTTTTCTTTTTTTTTTCTTTTTTTTAACTTACGAAGTAGATAAAAAGATGTCCGGACGATTTTCATATCGGAAGATAGAATTATCGAGAGAAAAATGCAACAACACTCACAACCATCTCAAAATTTTATCTCACAATTTAACTTTTATTTTCGCGTAATTTTTTTCCTTTTTTTTTTTTTTTTTTTTTTCTGTTGCAAAAAATCGTCTTAAAAATAATACAGGGGAAACGTTTTATAGATTTTGATGGCGTAATTAAATTCTTTATTCTTTTCTTGTACATCTATTAGCCTCTTCATTGTTCTTTTTTTTTTTTTGTTTCTAGTTTATAGTAGGTCATACAATTATTAATTAGACGATTTTTGAAAATTTCTCATCAACAGATAAACGTAGATACAATATTTCATATTTATAACAACGAAAAAAAGAAACAAGTTCGGTCCCCGTTACTTATGGTTATAGAGGATTTTTTTTTGTTAGTAATAATTTACTTTCTTACAGGGATGGCACATAGTACTCAAAGACGGAGATTATCGATAGGACATCAACTTCGTATGTTCATATAATACACACACACATATATATTTCTTGTATACATGTATATTTATATTATTAATACGAGCTGTCGCTAATCGAATTTGAAATCCGAAGTAATCGACGATGACAATGATTACCCTGCATGCTTGGAATGATGATAATTAATTAGAATCATTGACAACATTTACAATAAACTCTCATAATATTGTTTCTTATTTCTTTCATTTATTTATTTATTTCTTATTTTTCATTGTTTTAACTATCCACGATTACTTTTGTTGTTGTTGTTGTTGTTGTTTATTGATAAAAACTACCAGTCGTGTTTGTTTGTTTGTTTGTTTTCAAAAGAAAATTCTTTATTAGAATAATTCATTGTAATAATAACAAAAATTATTTGATTTGAATTTTTGTGTAACAGTGGATTAGAAAATTTAGTAAACCACAATTTTGAACACGCGAGGATTTTCACAATAGGACCGATAATAATAATAATAATTATTATTATTAGTAATATTATATTTGTCAAAATCATAGATTTTATTTTTACTTCTTCTTTATTTGTTTTTTGTTTTTTTTATCGAATAAAAATTGTACAGCACAATGGCCAAAATTAAGATTATCTCAATAGTACGTTCAAAAGATTAGAAACATATTTTTTCACGCTCCCACATACATACACACACACACACACATGCATACGGATACGGATACGCAACGCAAATGTACTCGCATACACTCGGAGCATATCGATGTTCTTACATTCGCAATATTTAAACGCTTTGAATGTATTCAATACAGTAAACTACTTATTTAAACATTAATAGTATCTGTACAAAAGTATAGATTAAATGTCTTTTTATCTATACAAGATGACAATACGACGTTCACTTGACGACTATCCTTAACATCCGTCTCTCGACTGTGTAGTATAAAATTCATTTCTACTTCCGATTCGTTTATCTAATCGGAATTAAATAAAACTATCATTTACTTTATTTTCTATTTGAATGTTTTGAATTTGTTTTTTTTCTTTTTTCTTTTTTTTTTTTTTTTGGAATGTATCGAGAGAAGATGGCTCCGATGCTAAGATTTGCTTTTAAAATGGCAAAACACAAAAGTGTGATCTTCTCGAAGCGATTAGAATACGTACAAACGATCTTCTAAGATCGATTATTATTATTATTATTATTATTATTATTATTATTATTATTATTATTATTATTATAATTATTAATATTATTATAGTCTCTACGCGTATTTAGAATAAAAACGAAATTGAAACATCTTGGTTTAATACATCTATGATAATTAATTACGATCATTGATCTTCGCCATTTTCTTTTCTTTTTTTCTACTTTTTTCTTTTTTCTTAATACACAAGCTTTCTCTCTTTTTTTCTTTATACGCATAAAAATTTATCTTCTGTTATATGTATATTATATTTGTTTTATCTTATTCTGTTTTTTGTTTTTTTTTCTTTCTTTCTTTCTTTCTTTTTCATTCTCGTAAAATTATTTACAAAACTTATCGCATTTATTCGCGTAGAAGATATTTCAGATGTCGATTTTTTTTTTCTATTTTTTTTTTTTTTTTAATGAAATATTGTCCAACCAACGACCCTGTGTGACTCCATGAAATTTATCGAACATATTTATGTATATATATCTATGTGTATGTATAATACATAAATACGTAAGAACGTTGGACACACGTCACTTTTTTTTTTCCTATTTCTTCATCATCATTATCATTATCATCATCCTTAATCCTTCTACATGTCTAAAAAAAACATTTCGATATGACTCATTTGTTCTTCTCACTTACAAGTTTAAATGTTAAGCGTAAAAATCAAGAAAATCATTATACAACGAAGATTATTATACAGGACATTAGTGTGTATGCATTTTAGCTTCGTTATTTAAAGATTTGACGGGAATGTTAGTTTACGAAGTATAGAATGTTAATTTTATTTCTTGACGTTTCTATCGTTACGAATAATCCGTTCGTTTGTGTTGCTAAATATTTTTTTTTTTTAGATATATATCCAATTTTTTAATAATATTAATATATATATATATATAATAAAATAATATATATAATAATGTAAAATATTATATATATATATATTAATTTATTATATATATTATTATATATATTAATATATTATATATTATATATATTTTAATATATTATATATTATATATATATGTGTGTATTTATATATTTATATATCTTTCCCATAAAAATAATGTTATAGGGATTTAACTATATGATCCTTTAGAAAATAAAATTAGCAACAATAAATATCGATCGAGACAAATTGATCAAACTTTTTCGCTCCCAAGATCTAAAGATCACAAAATCGTAAGGTTTTTTTCTTTTTTTGTTTTTGCTTTTTTTTTTTTCTTACCCGTAATACTCGAGAGCTAAAAATAAATTACTCAAAAAGAATGTTTTAGTTTGGTTGTTATTTTGTTTTTCTTTTTCTTTTCTTCCCTTTTTATAATTGGATGAAAATTTGTTCCGTGGCTTAGAAAATGCGACGAGGTTTTTGAAATGGTGTACAATGTTTTATGTTCCCCGTTCGCACGCACACTCGTATATGTAATTATATGTATATATTTATAGAAACTTAGTGATTTCTAAATATATATATATATATATTTAACGCAACTACGATGATGAATTATCATAAGTATGTTGTTGTTGTCGTCGTCGTTTTATCGAGTCAGATGATGGTTGTAAAAAAATCTTACTAAATTCGACAACGTCATATCATCTAACGACGAATGATAAATAAACGATTAGAATAGTCACTGTTAAGTTTAGACCAAAAATTCCTGCCGATGAACAATCAAGATTGTCTCTATGATAATAAGTTGCAGGTGGATGTTCATCGCCAGGCTTACACCAGTCACCTCGAGTTTTCAGTTCAGCCTGAAATGGATTAAACAATTGATCAAGATTACTTCATTTATCATTTATCATTAATCATTTTGAAAATTTAGGATATTATATGAATTTGGTTCTAGGAAAGATAGAAATAACTTGGGAATTTATAAATTAGGGTTGTATGTTTTATTGTGATACGTTTGTTAGGAGTAATTGACATTTTTGTAATATAAGGGCTTGGCTTTTGAGTATTTTCTTAGGGCCAGAAAATTGCAGAAAAATGGATTGAAGAAATTGTAAATTACAAGGATAATGCTGTGCTGATTTATAATTAGGTAAATCCTTAATATATATTTATATTAAATAAATGTATTATTGAAAATAAATGAATTAAATTTTTCTCTATATTTATTAAATTCTATACTATTTTAATAAAAATTAATATTAGCATATATATATAATTATAAATTAGCACAAACTTTTCAAATAAGCGATATAATAATGACAATGATATAATAATTAAAATAATAATAATAATAGTAATAAATATGATAGTAATCTTTGTAATAATGATAACAGAAACGAAAAGAAGAAGATATGAAGTAATACGTAAGAATAAATATTAAAATAATTATATTCCATTATAATTAAAGGTAAAATAATATGATAAATCTTACTTGACAGATATCTTTACAGCGTGGACATATCAAAGCACCTTTGTGTAGCCAACCATTTTGAATAATCCTAATTGCTATTTCTTGACCAGCATGATAGCAAGTGTAGGTATAATTTGCCACCTACAATTAAATATATGACATTTAATAGATAATTCATTCATGTAAGTTATCCATTGTGCAATAACACAGATCCTATTAGTGTCTTCGCCAGTTTGAGATTAATTAATGACTTAAGATAATTGTGCTCATTAGGATAATATTCACTGACCATAATATGCAGACGACCCGTCTCGCATTTGTATTGATAACAACCGGAACCCCAATGTTGCCACTGACGTGCCTGATTGCACGTTCTCTCTTCCCACATTTGATTGGTATGATCGAAACATCTCGAATGGGATCCATATTTTTCCAATGCAAAATTTTTCTCTGGATCTTAAATGAAAATAAATAGTCATCGTAAAGTAAGGTACATTTTATTTATTTATTTATTTAAACGTTAACATTTTATAGAATTTTATGCGAAATTTCTGTTATGATTTGAATGGGAAAATTATTCTATTAAGTACTTGTTTTTTATTTTAGATTTTTTTTATTCTTTTACACTTACGTGGATTGTTGTCTTCATAAAGACAATGAGAACCCCTTACAACGATGTTTCGAGCTCGCCATGTAAATTCTTGAATATATGGACAATAGTCTGCCAAAGATACTGAACCACCGTAATATTGTTCTTCTCCAAATGGTACGTGTGGGATTAAATCGAAATTCTGTTAAAAATACAAAAAAATACTCGTTAAAATAACTTTTATTGTATATATCATTTAAATAATATTTAAAAATAGACGTATATATACTGAATCACAGATATTATTGGTACGTTCAGTTTTATTAGATTATTTTTAAACAATTCTTTTTTTTTCCTTATTAGTAGCAACCCTCCCTCCCTCCCTCCTCCCCCTATATAAGGCTCGTTCATGCAAAAGTTCTTTTTGAAATACAAATAAACATTCGCGTGTTCATTCATAATTCACAATTGTGTTTATTTTAAAGAATTTATTATAAGAGAAATAAGAGATAATTGAATAATAAAATAATAATATTTACTTGATATTTTTTCGGTAAGGGTTGAGGATGTTTCACCAAATTGCACAAAGCTACGGAACTTCGATCATCCGTACACTCGGTTTGTAATGGATCTTGTTTCACCTTATTGCAGAAAGGATGAATCGATTTCCCACTGGAAATAAGTAATAACATTCTTAGAAAAGTATAATAGTATGGTGTTAAACTATAACGAGATCTTTCTCGGTACGATTTAATACATTTTTTAAAAGCTACGTTTCTTTATTTTCTTCTTTTTTTATATCGAAGAATTTCTATTACTCACTTTTGCTCTCTGCTGGTATTTCGATATCCCAAGAGAGAGACAGACAGACAGAGAGAGAGAGAGAGAGAGAAAAAGGGAGATCGAATGAAAGAAAATTGAAAATTAAGTGTCGAATTTTTAATTATTTTACCTAATAAGAGATTCTAAATTGATTATATATAATATTATTTAAAATATAATACGATTGTAATAAAATTAGTCTCTCGTTCTAAAATATATGACAGATAAAACGATAAAAAGAAAGACAAATAAAGTATCCATTTAAATCGAGAAAGCAAGAGAATAAAAGAAATGTTGGAAAATATATTTATATCTGTAAATCAGTAAATGGAAAGATCACGGATCTCGGTAACAGCGATTTTATTAGAGTAACTACAGTCGAGTATTAAAGTGCACGATAATCGAGTTTCTTATGCATTGAAAAGCTAGAGGGTAAGAAGAAAACGCGATGATGCTTTTAACGGAATAGGCTTTTTTTTTTGTTGAAAAGAAACACGAAAAAGGATTGGTGGGATGGAGGGAATGTTTGTGTGTATGTGTGTATAAAAAAAGATTCACAATCTTACGATAGATAAGATTTCACTGGTTAACATTGAAAACGTGACTATTTGGGCTATTTCCATTGGGGAATAATATCGTGTCGCGTCAGAGTTTAAATTCAACGAGGGATACTTACGATAAACGTGACGATTTCGAGGATATCCATTCCTTGCAGGATTTCATAGCAAAATCGCAACCCAAATGTCGTCCCCAACCGAGTTTTTGCGCCATCGAGTAATTTGCGCTGTACCAACCGGTATCCTCCATCAATGCTAGAGTAATCCTCGAGTAAACTGGATTTTGTGTGTGGGTACCAGTCATAGCTTCGTTCTATCATATATATATAATAAGAATTAGTTATTAATTATCCCTAAGTTTGATTCAAAAAAAAATTACAATAATTATATGTAAAAATGAATATTTTGATTTTGTTTTTAAATATTATCATACCCATTTGCATTATGGTTTCAAATATACTACTAATTTCATATATAAATCAGGGAATTGCAAATAATAAACATTTTTGTATTTATTTATTTATGATTTCATCGTCAATTTCACATTTGATAAAAATTGAACAGTAACAACAACAACATGTTGTAATTTGCAAATTTATTATCCTAACAAATGAATAAATATCAAAATACTTTTTAAAAAAAGTTATCGATCAATCGTAATTTATATCAAAAATTTCAAATGTTTAATAAAGAAAAAGTAAGTAATATAAGTAAGAAAAATAATTGACGAATGTGATAAATTTTGAAATTAACGAGTATGAAAATAATTGAATGGATTATAGGAAATTAGGGAAAATTAGTAACCTCGAAGACTCGCTTTTCCCAATGCGTCAAGGCCGTCCCATCCTCTCCCTGGTCTTCGAGTTCTGCACCCTCCAAGTCCGGGCAATCGAAGTGTGCTTGAACTTCGGCACGAACTCGTGGCGTTACGATCATTTGCATCGACCTCTCGACGTAACCACCGTGCACTTGCCAATATGGCCTCGTTACGGTCTTGATCGTACTCTCGCTCCACTGATGCGTTTGCAATCTGCGCATATGCGGTAAATTATTACTTCCTCTTTCTCCTCTTCTTCCTCCTCATCCTTCACTACTACTACTACTACTTCTTCTTCTTCTTTTGCTTCTTTCTCATCGTATTCTTTTTTTTTTCTTTTTTCTTTTTTATTTTCCTCATTAATCGCGTTCGTTAATTAAGGTCGTTTCACAAAAGTGAAAGAGAGAGAAAGAGAGAGAGAAAGAGAGAAAGAGAAAAGATCATCTTTGTCTGCTTCTCGTTATAGAATTAATTAAAAATTTATTTGTTTCTATAGTTTTTTTTTTTTTTTTTCGTTTTAACCACCTACGATCTATCTTGAAATTGAAATAAAAATAAAACGATATGGATGGAATATAAAGATTGGAATATATTTTCCAAACTTCTGGGAGAAAACTTTTCACAAAAAGGATACTTTTAATAATTATAAAAAATAATAAAATCACTTTTGATTTGTTAATCGTTCATGACGCATATACGAGTTTAATAAAACAAATAATAATTGTAGGATTTATCAATGAAAAATAATTTAAATATCTCGAAATAATTTTCTTTTGGAATCGTTTAGGCTAATTTTTGATAAAACGTGTAATACGACGTTATTACGAGAAAAAAAATAATAATTGAAGAATTGATAATAGGTATCATAGTACATGACAGGAATACAGTGGTGCCATTTCAAAAGTCGATTAATAATCTCTGGAGATTTCTCTGTTGAGAGTAATTTAAACGCAGCATTCCTCTTGCCATCTCTCTCTCTCTCTCTCTCTCTCTCTCTCTCTTTCTTTATTTCTTTCTTTCTCTTCTCTTTATTTTTCGTACAGAATGATTGATACAGCACGGTAGTAGAAAGCTGTTTTCGACAGCAAGCCAGCCATCGCTTTTCATATTTCGACATGACGGATGTATCCGTGAATGGTCATTTCACGGAGTACGAACACGAGGTGAAAAACATTATTACGTTTGACTATATACTACTTTTCTATCTATCTATCTTTCTATCCATCTATCCATCTTTTTATCTATCTATCTATCTGTCTATCTTGTTCGTTTATATCTTGGAACGTTTACGAAATAATGGAAGTAGGTTGTAGAAAATGAAACAATATCGATCCGCTATCGAAGATTTTGTTCTTTTTTTTTTTTTTAAACAAATCATTCTCTTGACAAATTAAAAAATTATGCTGATAATTAAGGTTAAAATGTACAACGTTAAATGTTCCGGAAAATATATCATACAACAATTGAAATAATAACAGAGATGTAGACAACCCTTCCATCCTTTTTTTTTTCTTGAGACTAAACACGCACACGGGGTAACTGTTGATTCTATTTTTAGATATCGATAGAAAATAATACAACTTTTATTAACATTTATTTAAGAGAGAGAGAGAGAGTTTTTTTCTTGGTACGATTTAAGTGCACAAGATCTATGTATTACACTGAAAGAATTTCGAGAATTAAGTGGAGATGGGCATCCTAAAAACATTGAGAAACATTTTAGTGTAAGACCGATGGAAAAACAGGTTAAAATCTAAAATAGAAACCGAGCACAATGCTGATCTTATTGTAACAACAAGATAAAAGAATATATTTTTAATGATTAGTAATTGAACTCGTGTTCTTTTTATACAGTATTGTCTATTTCTATCTTTACAATGTGAAAATGTGGAAGATTAAGTTCTTATAATCAGATAAGGTGAAAAAGCGTGTGCACGTGTGACGGCACGTGTGCATTTACAGTAAAGATTAGTTCATGATCGTACGAAAATAAATGTTGTTAATTTAATAATACAACTTGTGTCGTGTGTTGTTATTTGACAAATTGGAATTTTCTGATTAATCTTGTAAAATATAATATTAATTGAAAAGATGCTTTTCCTTTTGATCTGAATCACGCATGAAATGGTACGATGTAGAAAAAAGATAGTAAAAAAAAAATCAATAGAATAAATATTTTACTTTGATAATAATTTCATTTCAATAAAGAAGTACAATAGACGATTAATTTCATTTTTCTCATGGTATTAACGAACGAGCTCGGTTTTATAATTATTTTCTTTTTTACGTGAGAAGGTATCCAACGTGGTTTCATTAAAATCGTAGATCATAATGAAAGATGCATTGTTTTTTTGTATTACGAAAAAAATTGGAAAATATTTCTACGATCTTTGAAGGTGTTAAATTTGTAAATGCAACGAATGTAAGTAATGAAAAAAAGAAAAAAAAAGAAAATAGAATTAAAAAATGAAATATAAATTTTCGTAGTTATGAGAGACGAGACATTAAAAACATATGTTTATAATTCTTTAAGGTGTTAATGGAAAATATTAGGAGTGATGAGATTTTCAGAATATAGGATTGGATTTGAAATGTAACAGATGTAAATAATAAAAAAAAAAATTAAAAAATAAATTTATCTTATTGTGGAGAAAAAAAACAACAACAACAATATGAAAAAAATATTTTTACAATTAAACGTGTTTTGATTAAGAATATTAGATGCGCATGGATGTCAGAAATAAAAGGGTTGAATTTTTAAGAGCGACAGATATGTAAAATAGGAAGGAAGGAAGGAAGGAAGGAAAGAAAGAAAGAAGGACACAAATATGAGAGTACAGTAAAAAAAAAAAAAATAAAAAAAAAAACGTGGAAAGAGGAAAGAGAGTGAAACAAAAAAAAACAAAAAGGGAGAAAGAAGAAAAAGAAATGGCAAAAAGCAGGAGGACGGTAGGAACGCGTTCCACGCCGGAACGGTTCGTTATGGTTCGTAGACTGAAAGGGAGCGAAAGAGAGAAAAAAGAGAGACAGAGAGAGAGAGAGAGAGAGAGAGAGAGAGAGAGGAAAGTTGGAATTTTCCAATTTTAAAGGCAGATACTACACGACGAACATGGTGGAAGAGAACGCAGGAGTAAAGGGTGAGAAAAAGAGGGATGGAAGGAAGAATGTCGTCGGGGTTGGATGATGGATCGTTGTAGCCACCGACGACGTTGTTGCTTCTTGTTTCTTTCTCAAAAAACGAGATAGAAACATAAAAGTAATCTACGATGTCGTCTACGTCTCTTTCACTTCCACTCATATTTTGACATTTCATATATTTTATATTTAGCATATTTCTATATATATATATATATGTATATACGAGGATGAGTTAAAAAGTTTCGAGCTTATATCAAGAGATAAAAGATTGACTGAAAAAAAAAAAAAAAATAATTGGTTTCTACGTTAGACTTAAATACATTTCGATAGTTTCACCTATTTCATTCGTATATGTTTTCAATTAGAATAAAAACGAACTCTACTCGATTAGTTCGAATTTATAATTAAATTTTTGTCGAATAATTTGATCAACTTTTAGTTTAATAATACAATTATCTGTTAAAAAGTGTACTTTTTGTTTGTTTATACGAAATAATAGAAAAATAGCTTTGTTGATAATGTAAAATTTATGTTGTGCTCACATAACTCACACGTACGCACGACTACTAAAAACTATTAACTATTATAACGAAAGACAATAAAGAAAAATCAATTCTTCAGTATGATTTTATTTTTTGTTTTATGGTAATTTTAATAATACTCACTTTTCATTCAACGGAGGTTTCCCAGTGTCACTTCTCCTCGGTGTTCTAGGTTCACCATTTTCATCCCTGTAAAAGGCATAAAGACTGACGGAGAAACCCAATGCGTGAAGAATTTCGTGTTTCACGGTACTCAATAATGTTTCCAGTTCCTGGGGCTTCGTACTAATACTACCAGGACAAAGATTTGCATGTCCTGCGATTGGTCTGAAAAAAATATGAAAAAAAAAAAAAAATATTAATACTTTATTTACGTTGGTTGGTCTATGGGACGTCGAGAATAAAGCCATAAAAGAGAATTGTGAAATAATGCGGAGTATTTGGCGTTCACCTGCTATCACCTGGGTCATATAATCGAAATGTTTTTTTAAGATTTAAATGTTTTGTTTAGATAAAGGATCCTCTAGTAGTTTGTAGCGGTTTTGATGGGTCAGTGGATTATAAATGATCTGGGTGTTAATTTGAAGTATTTCGTTGAATAAATTAAAATGACAATAATTGTGAGCATATATAATAACTTTATAAATTAGAAATCATTTTTAAACAGGTGTAAATCCAATTCTTTGTAACAGTCGGTTAATTTTGATAATTTTCAAATTTTATTTCCATTTGCATATTAATTTTTTTTTTTTTATTATTTTTTATTTGTACGTTATCGTAAAACGGGAAAGCACCCACCCCCCCTTCAAACTCGTAAACAACGATATAATATGTATATACATATTCACTATTTACTTATTTAGAAAATCCGTAGAAATTTTCTGGACAATCGAATATATGCAGTTATCATAGAAAAAATAGAAAAATAAAAGAGAGAGAGAGAGAGAGAGAGAAAAAAAACAAGAAAATAAAGGAAGAAAAAGTTTTAAGAGTCGAATTCGATATATTATTTGTGACACGTGCCATTGACGGATGAATTCAATTCACTTTCGATCGATCGATCGATCGATCGAAGGAAGAAATCGTAATGCTTTTGAAATATTCACGGAAGTTTGATAGATTGCTTTGGAAATATTAAATCACGTGGAACGCGTTCGATTCTTCTTTCATTTCTATGCGTCCTTTTAAACCGGAGCTAGGTATATATTGTTGAAGAGTAAAAGCTTACCAAAATGAATAAATCGCGAATTGAAATTTTCTCGCGACTAACGTATTCCTCAATAATTTGTTTTCCACTGTATATATATATATATATATATATATAATCGATACGGGGGGTTTTTTTTTGTTTCTTTTTAAAGGATATCGAGGTAAAAGAGAAAACGTTAATTAAGTCGGTCGGCGAATAAATTCCCGTTATGCGAAAGAAAGAAAGAAAGAAAGAAGAAATACTTCGATGTTTATTATTTGCTTCGCTCGTTTCATTTTATACTGTTAGCGAGAAATCTATATATTTTTTTTATTCTTTTTTTTTTTCGTTTATTTTCCTTCTCTTCTTTATTCTCCCGTGTAGTAAAATACACGTTCATACATTTATTTATACAAGATGTTACAAAACGATTGAATATTTCACGAGGTATTAAAATTATTAAAAAAAAAAAAAAAAAAAAAAAAAAAAGCAAACGTTAAAAATAACTTTTTACGTAGGAAAAATGTTCGTGGAACGTTTCAAGGCCGTGTCAATTATTCTTTAACTGACTCTTGGTATTTTTTTTTTTTTTTTAATTTTATTTTTAGTACAACCGTGGGTGTGGATTCACATAACTCAACCTTGAATTTATCTCTGTTCAATCGATACACAAAAATTATTTCTAATTTTGTATCATATCAAATTTTTATCATGACATTGATAATATCTCGTGAGAAGTTCCCCAACCGTTAACGTTAGAGTGAAATTTTTTTTTTTTTATAATAAATGTATAGATATATTGTATATATATATATATAGTACAACACAATGAAGAAATTTCATTTACGTCGAATGCATAAGCGAAATTTCACTTTAGAAGAACAGTGTTGATACAAAGCAAAAAACGTTTTAATAGAACAATTGCTAAAATAATCGACGAACGTGAAATTTATTGTAAGATGAAGGTGAAATAATTTCATGAAAATAAAAAATAAATCAAAGAAACGGAAAAGCGAGCTATCGTTGTAAAAAAAAAATGCTTCTATAAAATTAATTGAATAAATTCGTGATTAATAATCCAAACATACTTATATCGAATTTCAAATTAATATTATAAAACTTTTACGAATTATAGGTTTTTTTTTTTTTTTTTTAAATATAAATCGTTTAAACGAAACCTTGGATATTCGCGGAAACACGAATATGAGAGAATTTTGAAAGTGGGTTGGGAAATTTGAATTTTGCACGTTCGAGAATGAAGAAAAGAAAAAAAGAAATAAAGAAAGCAGAGAGAGAGAGAGAGAGAGAGAGAGAGTGAGAAGGAAAATCAGTGGAAGGAGATAAAAGTGAGTAGCGAAGCGTACGTGGTCTATATTGAAAAATATTCAATTTCAATAAAGTGGTGTTACATTATAACTCGAATGCGCGAATCGATCATCGAAAAAATATGAACGGAGAGAGAGAGAGAAAAAAAATGATATAGACATATATACATATACATATATAGAAAAAAGAGAGAGAGAGAGATACAATGACAAAAAGAGAGAGAGACGGGTGTAAGGTGAGGGAGGTGGGAGGTTGAAGAGGGGTTAGAGGGTAGTTGGAAGCGCGAGATAGTGGACAATACGCGTTCGCCGATCTGCCTTGCAAATCGGAGTGAATATTTAAATTTGGCGTATCTATCAAACGTAGCAAATCGTTCCCTAGCTAGATTTTATGTAACACCGGAGGGCTCGCTTTAAGCGACGGTGATTAAATCCCAGGATAAAATTTCATTCAACGTTAGGTTACACATCGTTGAAAGTGAAAAAGAGTACCTACACTTCGTTTATTCATTGTTTACGATTAGTAGTCTCTTTTGTCAGGTTTAAAATTAAGTATTATTTCTTTCTCACGTAAGCAATAAATACATATATCGTGTTTGTAAAAAAAAAACATCCTTTCGATATACTGTATGTATAAATATTTGAATTTTCTCTCTCTCTCTCTCTCTCTCTTTTTTTTATATTTATTTTTACATAAATATTATCTTTTTTTTTTTTTTTTATTCGTATTCTATGTAAATGGAGAAACATTGTTTCAATCGATATTGTTTGTCATTTTTTATATTATTCATGAGAAATTTGTTTTCTAAGTTTGTTTGCATTTTGTTATAAAATAATATTTTTTTTGTAGATTCATTTTTAATACGATCGATGATAACGTCGAAATGAGTCGTTGGACTCGTTGTTTTTTTTTTTTTTTATCTAAACAAAATATTTGTATGTGTCTCTATAATAAATGTAAAATACATATATATAGACATAGAGGGGACATAGACGACTCTTATTTCAATATATATATATATAGATAAATGCAAACTCACCGATCCAATGCAGCTTCCTGTTGACAGTGAGCAGCATAAGCAACCGTCAATCCCTTGTGACATCTCTCGGTCTGCATGGCGGACACATAAAATACAAAGTCCGCGCCGTCGATTCCGGGACCGGCTTTACTTCCTTCCGCCACTTGACAATTGTGACCCGTTGCGTTGCAAATTCTACACACCTGCGATCGCAAAATTCAAGGTATCAATGCGGAAATTCGCGCCTTCCGCTTGAGAGAGAGAGAGAGAGAGAGTCGATCGAGAGTAGGCTAATAAATATTCATCGTCGATATATCGGTTTCTCGATAATTCATTTCTAAAATACGCTTTTATTATCAGAGAAAATTAAATCGATATAATAAATTAGATATTATACTTGGACGATTTAGGATCAACAATAATATAAACTTTAGAATATTAATACGATATTTTTCTGTTCATTTTCAATTTATTATTTATACGTAATTAAATTGTTTTTCTTTTTTTTTTTTCTATGAATAATTATTATTTTCATTTGATCGACGACATTTTAATTGATGATTTTTTTTTTTTATCCGTAAATATATATATATATGTGAATTCAAAAAATTAATTAAAATTCGTAATTATAAAGAACATTTTCTTGAGTAAATAACGTTCGTTAGTTCGTTAGAATATGAAAAACGAAATTAATAACAAGCCCTGTAATATTACAAGGGTGTAAATAATTGTTCTCTTCTATTTATACTATTTTTAACATAATAAAGTTCTCCCTCTTACACAAAATGGATATTTAATTTATCGATGACGTCTCGTAATTGAATTTTTCATTCTACAGAATAATAATTTATCAAATTACACGAACACCTATTAATATTGCGAATAGGAAAGCGAACAGGAATAGGAAAATAAAATTAAAAAAAAAAAAAAAAGAAAAAACAAGAAAATGTTCTAATCTAACTTACAGCATTCATAAACACTTCGAAATCCGATCTCACAAAAGTTGAGTTGAGTTACCTTAGATGAGAGAGAATAATAGTGATCGAGGAGAGAAGGGGGTAATGTATAAGCGAGAAGAAAGATCTTGCGCGATGAAAGCTCATAAATAAGTGCTCGGATGATGCGATCGTTCGAAGTGGGATAGTGGTGTGTGTTGGTGATGGTGGTAGATTACGTTATCCATTAGAGTTACGGGGTGTAATAGTGTAGTAGAGTATAAGGGTGGGGTAAATAATTTTGCGTAGAGTTCGTTAATCTTCTCTCTCTTTCTCTCTCTTTTTCTGGATGCAAATAATGGAGTTAATAATTCGTCTTTAATTTTTTTTTATGCCAATTAACGTCGCTTATCCTCAACTTTTCTCTTTGACAACTTTATGATAAAAGATTTCACACTCTTGTATCATTTAACGAAGATCAATTGATCAACAGATAATAGGAAAAAGGAATGGAAATATAAAACTTTTAATAAAGTTTTTTTTTTTTTTAATTCATTTGTTTAATCTATTTGTTTTAATTATTTCCAATCGATTGATTTCGAAAATTAAAATTCGATTATTTCGACATATAATATATGTTATGAAGTAGTTAATATCTCCTCGATTGATTAGTCAGCAGAATTTAGTTTGAAATCGTAATGAGATGCTTCTATATTCGCGTTTCCAGATGATCATAAATTAGTGGCTTAATTAACGTTACTTCCCAAGGTAATGAGTAATTACTTACGTCAAGATGGTCCTCTGGGACGACCACCTCTCCGCACATGGTCGTTGAACGGCAAGTATCTATGCAGTGAGTGTGATGATCTTGCACGAAAACTTGACTACTCTCGCATTTCCTGAAACAATTTAATCAATATGATTTAATATGTTATTGCTTTTGATTAGAATTCAATTAAAGGAAAAATTAATTATCATAAATATAAATGAAATTATTTTGAAGATCGAACATGAAGTATTAAGTTTCTGACTGGACAAAAAAGAAAATGACTGGATTTTAATTGAAAGAATGAAAGAAGCAATAAACAGTGAGAATAACAAGAGGAGAGGAGAGGAGGGGAGGAGAAAGGTGACGAGGAATGTTAGGTATCAGAAAGAGAAAGAAATATACGCGTTGAACGATAAACGATAAGAAGAAGAAACATTTACGGATTTTCGATCTACGTTTTGCAGAAAGGAAAAAGTGCTGTTGCTTGCTGCTTCTTCTTCTTCTTCTTCTTCTTCTGCTGCTGCTGCTGCTGCTGCTGCTGCTACTTCTGCCTCTTTAATCTTATTGTCCCGTTCTCGAGTTTTCTCTGGTATTGTCTCGTGTTCTTTCACGTTGAGAATTTATTAAAGAGACTGCTCTTTTCTTCTTACTTTTATTTCTCTTTCTTTCTTTCTTTCTTTCTTTCTTTCTTTCTTTCATTTTCTTTACCTTCTCTTTTTTTTTTCTTCGCGAGCTCTCAAATAGATCTTAGAGACATTCGCGTTCGGGGAAAGAAAAAGCCGATTCTTAATTAAGAAGACCTTAATTAAGCTTCTTATCCGAGAAATTCGAAGTTTATGTAATACGAACGACTCTCAAGTTTTCTAAAGTCGATAATTATAATCGAGACAGTCAAATAAATTCTTTCCTACATAGGAAATAGTTTCTAAGACCATTTCTTGACTTCTCTTAACGATCATTTATTTTCTTCGTAATATTCTATGAGAAAAGTTTATTAGAATGATAAGTATTAAATTATGATGCAAATTTTATATCATTAAATTTATATTTTTAATTAGAGATAAATGTAATTATTTAAAATAATCAATTAATTTGATATTTTTACAAATGACTATTAATAAATTAAATAAGTATCTATTTGAATTTTTTATTCAATCTTAGATTCGATAAAACGTTACAATTTCGTAACCAACTAGAACAGGAAGTTGTACGAGTCGATATATATATTTTTTTTTTTTTTGAAAGAATAAAATGATATTTTTATTAAAGAGATCTTAAGGTAGGTCATATTCATAAAGAGAAAAAGAAAAAGAAAAAGAAAGAGAGAGAATGAGAGAGAGAGAGAGAGAGGATCGATGCGTAACTGGGATATCTTTAGATGGGTCGAAAATGGCTGCTGTGGGACGATATTGACCAGAGGGTGTATACTTTTATAGGATAGAAGTAAGTATACAGTATATACTCAGAAAGGGATGGTGGTTGAGCCAAAGGAAAAGAATAAAGAGGACTCCAGGGAGGAAAACGGACACAGTGAAAGTAGTATTAAAAGAGGAAGAAGAAGAAGAGGAGAAAAAAAAGAAAGAAAGAAAGAAAAGGTGCACTTCGCTAAATAAACGTCCTAGCTTGCTCGTGTTTGAGGACTTCAACAGAGACATAAATGTTACAACCTGAATTGTGTGTCTCAATGTACATATAATATCGTAGTATCAATTTACAAAGTACGATCAAAAAGTAAGGTGAGAATTTTTATTCTTATCACAATAAATATTGATTGATTTATTTATAAATATTTATGTTGTCCCCGTTCAAAGTAATATCCCCCAAAGATACAATACACTTGTGCCGAACACTTTTTCTAATCGTCAAAGCACTTTTGATAAATACTTTTTGGTATTGTCTTGAGCTCATCCAGCGATACGATGTGGTCTTTATTTCCTCAATCGTTGCAAAACGCCGTCCATTCATGGGTTTCACATTTTACCATAACCATTTATTGGTAAAATAGATAAGCAAATATATCGATGTTTTACAAATATACATTTCCAATATTTCATCATCTTTAAGGTTATTAACTAATAACGAAGTACTTCGCATTTGAATCGATCATTTGATTAATAACGAATGCATTTGGATATATCATATATATTTGACGTATTCGATTACTTTATTATGTATGACACTGTACATGAGTGAACGTAGTGATTTGTATCAGGGTTCAAATAAAATCACGATTTGTGATACATAGATATGTATTTTCAATTTGCAACGAACTACGCGCTTGGAGCTTTATGAACTACGTCATCGTAAATATTTTCATTAATATAGGGAACGTATAGCGGCGTTGTTTTGCATAAAGGCAGATGAATTTTGAATATATTTAGCAGTTCAAATGATTTCGAATATATTCCGGTAAAATTACGCTAAGAGGAATCTTTTTGTTTTTCGTATAAATACGTTAACCTCGATGAAGAAGTTCATTCATATCGGGTGAAGCATTTCAAACAATCCCGCCTGATTAACATATTATACGTGGTTTGACAAAAAAAACAACGCGTCGAATGAAATTAACTTGATTTCTCTTCTCTTGATAATTCTATGTTAATAATTTTTTTTTTTTTTTTAGGTGGACTCGTAGAAGACATACAAAGGTTCATTCCATTTTCTCAAATAGAATGATATATTTTCCAATATGTTATATATGTATGGCGTCTTAAGACACATCAAATGAGTTACTGGGATTTTTATTATTACTCCTTTAAACATTTGTTTTTTTTTTTTTTTTGATATAACAAACAAAAAATAATCCCAATAACATGAGATTGACACATTTATTTTCTATCAACAATAGTAAACGAATTATTTGGATAGCCTGTTTTAAATGATTCACCCGATATATACATACTTAATAGTAACTAAGAAAAGTCATAAGTAGATGTATATATATATATCTGATATAATAGGTAAAAAGTTCATCACATTTGGAATTTAATTAGAAGGGAAAAAGGGATACGCGGGAGTAGTAGATCGTAAAGTAAATTGCTTTAATTAAAATCGATGCTATAGTACGCTGGCAGTAACAGTGGTGGTGGTGTTGACGGTGTCGGTGGTATCGGTAAGAGTCAGAGAGTTACGCACAAAAATTGAAAAGGGGCAAAAAAAGAAAAAAAAAAAAAAAAAGGAAAAAAAAAACGAGCTTTTGAGTTTGAACTTCAACGCAAATTTCACTTTGATTGGGAAAGAATTCCTTAAAGCGTATACGATTAAAAAAATCTAATTTTGTTCGGACTATTACGATACGATTATTAAATTCCCCCCGTTCGTACTTTGAAATTTCGTTCATTCTGAAGAAACTTTTAATTATTACGCTTTCTGAATCAAGATGCTTTTGAACAGAGAGAAAAAGGGGAAAGAAGTGACATCGAAAAACTTTCATTAACTCTCGGGAACACTTGAAACACAATTAGTAACCAACTGTGACGTAATAAGAACGTTTGTTCAAAGCAACAATTTTGATAAACGAAAATTTCCTATTACTTCCTATTTATCATTCTAGTATTGTTTAACAATGATAAAAATTGAATAAGCAAACGATATATATATATATATATAAGAGATTAATCTCGAACATTAACGTTTAGCGAGTAAACGTTAAACGGCCAGCAAAAGATTTGCCAAGTGTTATTTTACGAATCGATTAAATAAGAGAACATTTTCACCCTTAAAAACTTATCCCCATTTTATCGAGACGACAATTTTAGACGAGGGTTATAGTGACTAGGCCCGATGGGTAGGAAGAACCTTCTAAGAAACTTGGGATCCTTTCGGGTTTCTCGACGGAAGACAAACTCACGTAATTTTCTTCGATAAGCCGATATCGCGTCGACTTCTGGAGACTCCTTGAAATTGTAAGATTCTATCTCGACGCGAATTTATCTCGATAGAAAGAGATAGAAAATAGATAGAAAGAGAGAGTGAGAAGAGAGTGGGTCTGGAAAGAGGAGAGGCCTTTTTCTACTTTCAGTTGCTACTCGTCTCGTATATTCTCTTTGAGACCAGTTCGTGAGGGTAATGTTCCGTAGATTTCTTCCTTCTATGTGTGAATGCATGTATCTATGTATGTATGTATTCATGTACGTATGCATGTAGAATAGAAGGAACCAAAAGAACAGTCGAGGAAAAGTAAGAGAGAGAGAGAGAGAGAGAAAAGGAAAAGAAAAGGTGCTTGATGCTGAAGAAGAAGGGGACATACTCTAAACGAAAACGGTAAATTGCCTGGAAACCGCTCGAGTATTTACAGAGGACGTTTTCCTGCTATGAACTAAGCCGCTCAATTCCAAGACTTCCGATTCAAGTTCCCCTTTCTTCCCTCCCCTTCTCCTCGTCCTCCACCCCCGCCATTTACCCAAATCGAACTCCTAAATCTTACGAAATTTAAGCTCTATCTTTCTTCAATGACCTCAACCAAGAAACACTGCCATCCTTTCTTCCTTCCTATCTATTGTATTTAAAAGTAAGTGTCATCAAATTTGTGCGTTATTCCTTCTTGATTATCTTAAAATTAGAAATGAATCGTGTCTAAAGACTCGTTCGCTTTTTATCAAATACAATTTTTAAATGAGACCATTGAAGATTTACAATTTATAAAATAATTATACAGGACTGTTGTATTAAACTTAAAATAAAAAATTGAGGAATTTTTTAAATTAAATATATATTTTAAAAGTTGAACAGTTTGTTACTCAAAGTGTTTCTACTAATACTCTAATATATATTATTGTTAAATGTAAAGTTGTGTCGTAAATCTTTGTAGATCCATCTCGTGTGTATCCAGTAAACGTAATAATACTATGTAGAGCCATATTTTAGGTATCTCTTTTTAAAGATTTAAGAAGAAAGTTCGTTCTAGCATGAAAAAGCTTCGATATCGATATCGATGGCACCTCATCGTCGTTGTCGTCGAAAACTTGAAAATCCGGATCGTTCAGCTGCTTTTATCCGACTCACCGAACGTAATTTCTTTGTAATCCGCGAAAGGGAAGAGGTTCTTTTCCAAGCGTGGAGAAAAATTCTTCAGTGAGGTGGTGGTGGTGGTGGTAGGTGGTAGGTGGGTGGGTGAAAAGTGTTTGGTAA